ATATATACACACTGTATATACATCTTCAGTATACATTGTCACTCTCCATTTTCTGTCTGTGCTTTAAGTTGCTGTGACATGAATTTCCCAAGTGTGGGATCAATAAAGTTTATCTTCTCTTATCTTATGAATTCAACAGTAAAGTTAAGCAAAAATGAAACCCTCCTTAACAAGAGCTTTCCTTTTCTGACAGGTGGAAGAAGCCAGGAAGAAAATGTTCAACGGTACCATCTCCTCTATGCCTCAGACCTTCACCGTGGTTGCTCCTCAGCTCAACTCCCAATCGTCCACCAACCAGTCTGCAGCCTCCAAAGCCATGCAGTCAGCAGCCTCTGTCTTGCAGCCCCTCCCCTGTCACCTCCTGGGGCAGACGAGCCTTGTGCTGACTCCTGTCGCTAACGGCTCCACTGTCACTTGTGCACCGCTGGCACTCACCGTGGCTAACCAGGTATAACAGGCAGAAATGTTACCTTGCACAGACACAAGAACACAAACAAGTTAAGAGCTAAATCAAACTGTGGGTCAGATATTAAAGAAAAATACAAAAATATGGATGCGAGTGACATGCTTGATTTAATCTGACAGACTTGATTTAAGGTAAGCAAAGTTTCCACCACATTTGCCACAGGTGGCACAGTCGCTTAAACGACCCCTGGCCTCCCCAGTGATCGCCACAGAGAGTAAACGACCCTCCATCATTCAAACCATCTCGGCACCCATGGCCACATCCAAGCTGGCGTCATCCAAAGTGCTGAGTTTCACAGTAGACCCCAACAAAACAGCTGAGCAGCTAACAGTGCTGAGGTCCAGCTACACACAGTGTCCTTTCCCCGAGGAAGATGAGGTAAGAATAAGTGAGTGAAATGACATTTCTTGTGCCGTGCCTTAGGAGGTCTAAATAAATGTGAATGAATTTTGGCATTGTAGCTGCTTTTGTTTTTTTTAACACACCACTGTCATTGATGAACACACTAAGTGTTTCATTTTCTGTTGTATTCTGTCATGTGATAGATCTACAGGCTGATAGAGACCACCGGGCTGTCCAGAGGAGAGATAAAGAAATGGTTCAGTGAACAGAGGCTCCTTAATCTCAAAGGTATGTGGTTTTATATCAGTGCCACACATCTTAAATGACAAAACACTCTGACTGTGATTAACCGCACATCTTTCCGCGGGTTTTAAACAAGCTAATTTTGCATCTCAGAGGTGCATTTTAATTGCTAAGCCTTTAAAAAACAAATATACTGAGAAAGCCAGTTGTGCTTAATCGTCTTCTGTAATCAGCTGATAATGATTTTTTAACTACTGTTTATGCTGCGTCGTTTAGTAATATCAATTACCCGTCTTTTGAAAAGTCGCTAACATATTGTTGGTCCTTAACTCTCTCTGTCTGTGTCTCTGTTTAAGGCGTTCCTCCACCTCCAGTGCTGGTGAAAGCAGAGGTGACACCAGCACCCAAAGACAGTCCTGTAAAGAAAGCAGTCCCCAGTCAGTTTCCCCTGCTGGAGAGGGTGAAAGGGAAGTCATCAGAACAGCTGAAGGCGCTGGAGGAGAGTTTTCAGAGAAGCGGCACTCCAACCGAGGCAGCGCTAGGTAACGCCGTCTACCAACCCTCTCACAAACACATGAATGCAAAGGGAATGGTGGATATTTTACAACTTGGACCCTATTTGTGACTAATAGGAACAACAATTTTTTAAATCGTCCAGTATTGAGCGAGAGCACTGCAGCCGGCAGTGACGAAATAGGCTTCAACATAACCACTTGGAATAATTGCACCGTCATTATACATCTACTAAAAGTGCTTGTTTCTACCACCGACTCAGGCTGAGAGTGTTACTATAAGTGACAACATTATGGAAATGATCCCTACAGTAATAGACTTTTTGTTACAGAGTAAGATCCTTTTTGTTAAACCAGAAACAATCTTGAAATGGCCATCACCAAACCACCAAACTTTATCTGAATTGACAGTGTTTTTATATAGAAACAGCATTTTTTCACATCTAACGGGGTGAAGTAAGGATTTATTTTAACCAAATTAGAACTGATGATTGTTGGAACAGTGGACAGACAAACCAGGATGGTTTTTGTGAGTTTTATTTTATTTCTGTCACTTTGAATTAAGTGGGTTTCATGATGATAAAATCAGTGTTTATTTAAATAGTGTCTGGTGGCTTTTCCAGTGATGATTTGGGTGCCTTGTGGTTAAATAAAAAGGATCTTACTCTTTAATATAATGGAATAGCTCTGTAGGGATCCTTTCTAGATGTTGTAAAACACTTTAAATAACAATCTGACTCTGTCTGTGACAAAAACAAGCACATCAGTGGATGTGCAAATATGCCTTGAGTGGTTACATTGCAGCCTCTTTCACCACTGCTGGCTACAACAGGTCTCAATACTGGACCAATTTGTTGTTCCCATTAGTCACCTAGACACAAAAACATGGGAAAATGAGTCCAGCTTAGACAGTACCAAACTTACCCTTTAAATCACATATCTTTTGGATGCACAGAGTTATGTCTTGGTGTTAGCTCATTCTTACTTTGATTCATAATATATAACATAAGGAAGATAGATGGAGGAAGGGACAAGCATTAATGCCCCTATTTACCCAAAAATATATTTAGACTTGACTGATTTCACAGTGGTGAGGAAGAAGACATCTTGTGTCCAGCAGTTTAACTTCTCAAATGAAAAACACAATACCTTTAAACATTATCCTTTTCATTTACAGAATTACTAAATGTTGTAATAAACACTGCCATTTACTGAGTGCATTTATAGATTCAAACAACAACACAGTTGTTTTCTTGCTCATTTCCTCGTGGAAAATGTGGATGCTTGATGTGAGCACATTATACACGTTTTTGCCTGCAGAAACACAAGTCAGCCATCCTGCAGGTTGTTCGCTAATGAAGCACGAGATTGTCTTGCCAGTTACATCTATTTTTAGGATCAGTTTACATTGTGAAGTTTCTGAGAGAAAAAAATGTTACAGAACTGTTAAAGTACTCATTATAAAACTTACTGACTGAAGGAGGATAAATTGGGTGAGAGTCAGATGGTCAGCTGAGCAGTTGGTTGTGTTCTTGTCAAAATCCTCACTCTGTAACTCAGATGCTGAACTTACTTAAAGAAGTCCAGTGGTGTTTTCTTCTATTTATACTAGCTCACAGCATGTGACTTAATTTTCTTTCACCCCAAAGGAGCTGCAGGCCCGTCTCTGGTGGGTTCCTGCAGACAGGAATAGTATAAATGTTTTTAGTGAGCCCATTTTAAGTCCCCTGGAGAGAGACTGAATTCCCAGGTTCCAAAAAAACTGTCCGCTCAGAAGTAATGCAGCTCATCTGATCCACTGAACTCTGTCCTGCTGCAGACCAGCTGGCCCAGGAGACCAGGCTGTCCAAGACGGAGGTGGACTGCTGGTTTTCGGAGCGCAGGGCGCTGAGGGACAACATGGAGAAGGCTTTACTCAGTATGTCTTCAAAGAGCGCAGAGGACAGAGCGGAGCGGCCGGGGGTGCTGCTGAACGGGGCCTCACATCGAGAGCACAGCGGGAAACCTCTGCGCTCCTCCCCTCATCCACCTGTCCTCTCCTCTTCTTCCTCCTCCTCCTCCTCCTCATCCTCCCCTCCTGTGCTCGCAGCCTCCTCCCCTCATCCACCAGCCCTCTCCTCGTCGGCGTCACCTCCCATCCTCACTTCATCGTCCTCCTCTTCTCCCCATCCTCCCATCCTGTCAGCCTCCACGAGCCCGGCTCCCATTTCCAGCCGCTCCCTCACCCTGCTCAAAGAGGTAAGAAAACATGTCGGCGTCAACGCTGATTAGATGACAATGTATTAGAATATGACACAAGTTAAAACTGTAATGCAAGCTATAACAAAGATGATATCAGGACGTAAATGAGTTGTGACTTAAAAGAGATTAATTGATGAGATGGAATCTTTTTAAGTACAATCTAAAGTGAGACGACGTGTAAAATTGATTCATCTTGAGAAGGTGCTGTGGTGGTGCTTGAGTAAAAACTGTGATTGACACTGCATGATAAGATTTACTGATACATCAATATTAGAAATGAGATAAGACAGCAGGTGACTACAAGGTCAGATCTGACAAACTAAAGAGAAGGAGCTGGATTAGTGTTGTGCCTAGAAAACTGCAGTATCCCATAGGAACACAAAACCTATAAATGGAACATATATCCATGAGATGTCTCTCATACGACAGCAGAACTCTTTTATTCTCTGTAACGCAGATGCAGGCTGCCAGTTAAAAAATTATTTCAACTACTGCTCGCTAATTTAAAAAGAGTCTATCAGCCTGTCAGCAACATCCAATGTATTTATCTCATCGCCCAAACCCACATAGCACATAAAGGTAGATGTGTAGGATGTTAAATATGATTCTCAGCTGAATTGTTGAAAATGGAGTCAACCACACTCCTGTGAGCCCCTGTGATGCTTTTAACTGCTGGAGAGAATCTGGCAAGCTTTGACACACTGCAGCAAAGCTAATGTAAGTAAATGAGGCAACTGTTTACAACTGTTGTAATCACATTGTGTATCCATAAACAAAATGTTATCTACGTAGGAGAAAATGCCATAAAGCACTTTTAAACATAACTAAAGGCCTTTACACAGCAGAGGAGTGATGAATAAGAACTAAACTATTCCTATTGGCATGATGTCTTCCACACAACAGGAGTGGTCGATGCCTTTATTTGCAGCCCTAGAAGCTCAGAAAAATCTACCTTGTCCCTAAGAAAATTGTCTTTTTGCTTTATAATGCTAGTATTTTATGTGAAAGTACTCATGACAGAAGCACTTTGAAAGAAATATATTAACATGTGAATTTATTGCATGAAAATAAAAACGACCCCAGTGTGAAAAGGCCTTAACAGTCTAAAGCCATGCTAGCAACTCTGTTGGGTTGCACTTAGATACAGCAGCGCTTTGAGCTAAATGCTAACAACGGCATGCTAACACGCTCACAATGACCAGGGTGTCTACAGGACCTTTCAAAGTCTTAAATAGTAGTCTTAATAATAATGTAGTCTTAAATTTATAAATGTAAATATTGTCTTTTTACTTTATACTTGCACTTGCCTGTTGGCAAATTGTAGGTTAACCTAACTCACTGTAATAACCATATTCCTACATAAAACCCACTGCTGCACAAGACTACATACTGTATATACTGCTTAAGTTCACTTACCTGCTTCAATAAGAAGATTTGAAAAAGAAGATTTAATGATTTAATTGTCTGGTAAGTGCAGACACCCTGAGGATAATGATAACATGTTGATGTTAAGCAGGTTAACTGTTTACCATGTTCACCATCTTTGTTTAGTTCAGTTCAGTGGTAGAGAAAGTATCCAGATCCTTGGAAGATAAACAATGCAACATATTCCAAAATCATCCCTTGTGACCCACTATAAGTTTGTGGTGGTGTATTGAACTGCAGAGACTCTGTCCTCTGCCTGTATGTTTTTCATTTTCCTCTTATTTTCTGTGTTGGGAATGTTTATGGGCGTGTACCCACAACTGCCTTCAAGTAAGTGTCAGCTAACCCTCTGTTATGATACCTGTTCTTGGGGAAAGCTTGGCACAGGTCAGGACTTTATAAAAAAGTAGTGATCAGGCGCCAGACTGTAAGCAGCAGGTTTCCAAGAGACACAGCATAAAAAAAAACACAAATATAGTGAGGCGACACATCAAACGAGAGTGAGTCTGGAGTTTACTTTCACTTTAGCTGATGAGTGTGTTTACAAACCCTAAAACCAAGGCATTCATGAGCTAAAACAGTTATTAAGAAATTGTACACTTTACATCTCATTTTGTTGATCACCTATACGTGTATCTATTAATCATGAGTTCTGGTAGGAGGTGTCAAAGACATGATATTAATAGAAAAGTGAGGCACAACCTATTTTTTACTTTCCCTGATCATTGAATCCATAGCTTTGTTTATTACCCCGGCCCTATAAAGCGTTTTTATTATGAAACAGTGGATGGATTTAATATATTTGTTAACATTATCTGTCTTGACAGATGTTCTGTCGGACTCAGTGGCCATCTCCTGAGGAGTACAGCCAGCTCGAGGTGCAAACAAGCCTGGGACGCACTGACATTGTCCGCTGGTTCAAGGACCACCGCTCAGCGCTGAAGAATGGCGAAACTCTGGACTGGATGGAAAGTTTCCAAAACCAAAACCTTGCAGAGCAGCAGAAAGCAGGCCAGGAACAGAACGGCCAGAGCTCTGAGAAAAACCAGAGTGTTTCCTTGGACGTCAAAGCTGTGAAAGGTGAGTGCAGGAAAAGAAGATGGAGTAGAGAATACTTTTCTTTCTTAAAATTACGTTGTAAATTCTATACCCTTTTTTGACTGTGTTTTCTCTGTTGTCGTGCACATTCTAATTCTACCACCGTTGATGCAGTGGAGGAGGCTGGTGAGAACACAGCAGCTGCTACAGAGCACTCAAAGCTGTCCGACCAAGACAAAGTCCAGTGGTTGACTGACAGATTGGCCCACAGTGTGACCGACCTGAGCCGGACCAGACCAGACCAGACCAGCTCTGGTGCTGCTGACAAAGGGAGGTGGGTGGAGAGAGGGAGACAGATCTTTTATCCTATATTTATTTTCTTGTGTTAGATGTTATACAGACAAAAAGACCGGCTTTTTCAAGGGATATCTGAGGAGTTATTTTAGGGTTTTTGTGAGAACAATCTAAAAATACAGCACTGTATGGACAAGTTGTGGATGCTGAATTATTCTTTGCACTTATTTGTTGCATCAACCAGATATTCATGCATGGTTTAGGACATTTTTCACTGAAGCATTCAGTATGCAGATGAAAATATTTCTTTGATGTTTGATTCTTGCTCCTAGAAGGAGTCTGTTTGTGTTTAAACTTTGTTTGTTCTCTTGCCAGGTGGGTAAAGGTGACTATGGCGGTGGGGGAGGAGAGTGAAGCGGGAGTGGAAAGACAGAGGCTGGCAACAGACACTGAAGTTCCGACCTTGGAGCAACCAGGGAGGGTCACTGGTTGATGGTAGGTTGAACTGGTGAAATATCCTCCTAAAGAAAATTAGTATCTGATTAGAAACGGAGAAAAGCTGCAGAAAGTAATAATACACTGGAGCAGCTCTTTCCACATCATACATGCTCCTATTATGATGAGAAGATATTGATTAGTCCAATTTTAAAGTCTGTAATGGATTGATGTTGATTTGTGGGACTTGGCTTGAGTAAACAGATAAATAAATGGTGATCTGTTCCTTTAAGATTCCACAGCTGCAGTCTCCAGCTACCCAGGAAGTTATTAGGATGTAATTACCTCCGATTGGCCCTTCAAAAAAGATGGCATGCTGGGATGGCAGGATGATATTTGGACCCACACCATCATTAGCATCAAAGATGTAGAGACACACACACACACAGCGTTATTGTCACAGGAAGGCAGAACCAAGGGTGCAATTGGGTTATACTTGTTATTTTATTATTTTATCCAGTAAAGTTTTGTCTTTACTCCATATATAAAACCATTATTTAGCTGTTCAGTATTTCTGAATTTCTCAGTGACCATCACAACCAAGCCAGCATATGTTCAAATCATACTCTGGAAACAATGTTTCATTTAAATAAACTTGCCTTGCCCAAAACAGACAAAAAAGAAACCATTTAACTACATAGCCTGCCTACTTATAGTAGAAGTGCAAATGACAAAAAAAAAAAAAAAAAAAAGACCAAATCAACAAAAATTTATAAGTCTACAAAGTCGGGCAGGCAGAATGATCCACTCCTGAATCACTCCAGGTGTGGTATGACGCCACGTGGTGGATAGAACAAAACCAGGTTGCAGCCATGACAGCCAGACCGTGGAAAGCTCTGCCTGGTGGAATTGTCCCTACCAGCTTCCTTACAGCCAAGATGGCAGCAAAGACAGCAAAAATGGTGGTTTATTCATCTCATATCGTGTCAAACTTTAGTGGAACGTAATATATTGAGTATGGAATTAATCTGCTCACTCTCAAAATGAGACCAAACTTTTCTATGGATGTGAGTTTTTGAGCCATGATGACGACTAAAATGTGGCCTGAAAAAACGGCAGGTCTTGTTCTAAGTTAAGACGATTTGCGGAAATCTTGCAGCCCCTATTGGCCGGTTCTGAGGAGTGAGGAGTCAGCAGTCAATGTTGGTATAAAACAGTTAATAAAACAAGTTTTTCAACATTTGTGCACCACTGCAACCACAAGAGATCCCTGAGCATTAAGTCATAAATGTGCACACAAAATAGGAGGCTGATTGGTCCAACACACACCCTCACACACACACACACATACACACACACACACATGCGCCCACACACGACCAAACGCACAATCCCCTCCAGGCTTAATAAGTAAAACTAATATAACACTGAACTATATTTCCTTTGAATGCAGGAGAGGGAGAACAGTGATTTTTACCTTGAACAGTGAGCCCATGTTTATTTCATAGTCCTTGTTTCTGTCCAATTCTGTTCCAGGTCGAGTCATTGACTGCTGAGTCACCAACCGTCATGCGGCTGACTCAAGATGACTGAATGTGGAACCAGTGATGTAACTGTCTGCCTGTGATGTCATCACAAAGCACCGGGGACGTTGGAGTTCCACTGTTAAAACACTGACTGATGTGCGGTGCAGATGCTGACATTAAGAGGAGTGCCAAAGCTGGACTTGATGCATTGTTCTTACTACTACACTTTTTTTATTTTAAGAAGCACCCTTGTAAATATTTTTCTGTATTACAAAAAAAAAGTTTGTACAGTTTTACTGGGAGGGCAAGTTTTGTTACATTTTTTTAAAAAAAAGTCGTGACTGGTGCCCCGAAACCTGGAATGTTTTCTTGTCGTCGTCGTTTTAAGATCAAAGTGTATGATAGTCTGTTATTCGCTGATAATCAGTCCTATTTTTTTGAAAATCAGACCTGCTCATTATGAGTAGTCTTTGATGGCACTTGCATATATCCCTGTGGTAGTGATAGATATTTACATGCTAGGCTCATCATCTCAAACTGTTAGGAAGCTTTTCCTTTTCTCCTGCAGCGTCACTTCGACTAGCACTCATAGAAATACACTGATGGAGGTGGAAATCACTTAGAAGTGCTCGAGTGGCAGTTAGACGGTGCAACAGTGTTTTGGGCAATCTGAACACACAACACGACATAGATATGATTAATCACATAGAGACAAGAGCGGAGTGTCTGTTTGATCGCACCATGCTGCCTTTTCTGCTCTCTTATCTGACATTTGCCTCAGAGCTGGATACACTACAGACTGGTGACGATGATTTCTGCTCATCACTTCTTTGTTTGAAAAAAACCCAACTTGATATATCCTTGACTGAGCTTGTCAAGAACGTTCTGGTGAAAGTGTTTCACACATGATGAAATAACTGAAGCTCCTGTGATCTGTGAACACACCTCTTGTGGAAGGTCCTCCTGTTCAAAGCTGGATTGGTTTTTAGTTGATTTCTGTACAGTCAGTTCAGAACACCTGAAAACGGTGGTTTGCGAGTTAGAGAGAGAAACGATTTTCTGAAAAACAGCAAAAAGCATTTGGAACGTCACAACAGCCAAAGCTGTCATGTACTTCTTGCATGTGCTTCAACGATTTTTTTTTTTAAAACTCATTTTCAAAAATGATTTAAAGGGACATCTGTGATTTTACTGGTCAGATTGCAAGCGCTCGCAATATTTGTGCAACAAAAAAAAAAAAAAAGTTGAGTTGAACTGTCATTTAACCCTGGTTTGAACAGCAGGTGTATGGCTATCTGCTGGCTGAATGTCTGCTGCTGCTGCTTTAGTTTCCTGTTCAGACAAGTATCTGGGATACTGTACATTTGGTTGGCTAGAATGGAAAACCGCTTGCATTTTTCATTTTCTACTTTAAGTCTGCTGTAACTCAATAAATACACAACCAACTGTAAAAGTCTCGGTCTTCCAGTGTAAACTGCATGCATCAAAAACCTGGACAAGGTACAGAGATTAAGATTGCTCATTTACCTCAGAACAAAATGAATTTGTGTATTTCAAGTTTGACAGAATCTCAGTGCTTAGTTAAAGATATACTATGAAGGATTTACTCAAAAACAGTGGATAGACTCACAGATGTAATCCTTCTTGATCATCATGTGTGGCTGTGTATTTTTCTGCAGAGACTCTGCCCTCTGTTCATATTTTCTTATTCTCTGTATTCAGGACATTTATGGGTGTGTACCCCCCCAGCACTCAGGTGAGGTCAGGGCTTTATGAAAAGGTAACAACCTGGTGCCAGACCATAAGCAGCAGGGATCCAAGAGACTTAGCACCCAAAAAACACAAGTATAGTGAGGCGAATTGCCAAATGAAAGTGAATCTGGGGTTGGCATTCACTTTTGCTGGCGACTGTGCACTGGCTTGTAACGTCACTTAAAATTTTTTCCACCTGTATATCTGGGTTTGGTCGAACCTGACAGGTGTTTTTGCATATTTGTAGTGATGGTTTTAATCAACGGCTTCAGCTGCTCCAATTATTTTAGCTCACCATGTGTTAGTCGGGAAACATATTGGTGTGACACGTTTGAAGTGTGCTCCTCCAGGTGGCACCCAGGCTAACGGAGGTCAATCAGACAAGTTTGTGTGGCACTTTCTTTCATACTTGTATTACGTATACATTCCTTTTCATTGCCATTTTAACTTCCAGCCGGAGCTGAATCAACTTGCTCAATGTGCGGTCCCTCAGTGTGTGATTGAAATTTAGGAGGTGTGTGTGCGTGTCACCTCCTCTGCAACCTATGTTTACCCATAACACCCTTCTATGCGTAGGTTTGTAGAGGCGTTAACAAGTAACATAATGACCAGAATTCTGGCTTTATGTGCACTTTGTTTGATGCAATTAACAAATTGAACCAAAATTGAGAATCAGAGCACATTTGCCTCGTTGCATTTGCATACAAATAAAACCCTACAGGCTGTCAATAAACCGCAGAATAAAACTATATGTATTATAATTAAAGCTGAAACAGTTTGTCAGTAAATTAGTCGATTGACAGAAAAATAATTTACTGGTTTGATGGTAATTTTTCAAGCAAATATTCAAACGTAACCTCATTCAGACTTCTAAATGGTGACGAGTTTCAGCTTTTTTGTTTTGTTTTGTATCACAGTAACATTAGTATATTTGGGTTTTGAGCTATCACCTGACCAACAAGCAAAACATTTTCACTATGTTATATTTATGAAGTGATTCATGACAAATAATATTTGGCACACTGGACTATGACTGGCTGAGCTCTCCTGACGTGAGGGAAGAAAATCAGTGTTGCATGAAGGAAACATGGTTAGTTTGATAAATACACTCAGACTCGTTCATCCTTTCAATAAACAACTGTTATATTTACAAAAAAAAAAAGATCAAAATCCCATCTTCACCTCTCTTTGATTAAGATGAGATCTTAAGACAGAGGAAGATCAGGTCTGTGCCACAGAGGCTTAAAAAACATTTTTACACCCATGTAAAATCAGACCTGGAAACAGTGCTCTCTAAATAGCCCATGTTCTGCTGAGAGCACACTCCCAGTGCGTTGGTAATTACAATGTAATCTGATATGGCATCACAGAGAGAAAGAGAGAGAGAGACACCAGAGTCAAAATCAACAGCGTGCTGGTGTGCAGCTGCAACATCTCTTGTCCTTGACAGTCCCATGGCAGGGTGCGGAGAAACAGTGGAGGGGAGGGTGAAAAGAAGAGGACAGAAGGGAAGAGGGGAAAGGGGAGGGGAGATAAAGATTCATTACATTAAAAAAAAAAATCTATTTATTCATATTTTGTTCTATCTGCTTCACATGGACACATCTGCAGTAGTAGTAATAGTAGAGCTGGGTGAATTCAGCCTATGGCCGGTCTGAGTCCTGCTGTGCGCTGCTGTCTTGGTTAAAATGCGTGCTTCCTCGAATTTCATCCTTGTGTGTCCTTAAAAACTTAACATGAACGTAAACTAAAGTCAAGGTTTTCTCCCAAACGCAAGAATAAGAAAAAGCAAGCACTTTAACCTCAAACACAAACTGCAGCGCCGTTTGTTTTGGGGAGTAAACAGGACGGGAGGGGGCGTGGCTCTCTCTCTCTCTTCTTGTCTCAGCTTATTCACCCCCCAGACGGAAGCCTTGGCCCCAGTTGTGGCGTCCTCCTCTCCCTCCTCCTCCCCCACCCCCTCCTCCCTGCTCCTGGGCAGCTGGTCTGCTGGGGGGGACTCCAAAACCTGACACCCCTCCCCTCCTGTTGGGGAAGAACCGGTACCTGGAGAGAGGAGGAGAGAGATGTGCGGAGGGATGAGAGGGGAAGTGTTAAACTCAGATCAGTAAAACAGATGACTTTAGAGCATTTTATAATCAATAATTAGTGCAGTTTTATCCTGAGATCTGGCTACATGGTGAGGCAGCTACCCAGAGCTTTACTACAAATAAGTCCTAACAGTCCAGTTGGTAAACAACATAAGCAGTCACACAACTTGTCTCATCATTTCATGAAGCATGATGAGCTCCTGAGCGGCTCTAATGTCCTGGTGGTATATCTGTTAGTTTGACGGGGCAGTGTGGCTTTTGCTATGTGTCACTGTACATGGCTGACTTAACTAGCTTCCTCTCTTGGGATGAATCCAGAACTACTCAGATTTCTAAAATACTTGTATGAAAGTGAAACTCAAAGCACAAAGAACAGATGGTTCAAGTTGAACCAAGAAGAAGCTCTGAAAGATCTAATGAACTTTTTTAACAGTTTGGGTAATAATCTGAACTCTTTTTGTGCTTGTCTTTCAAAATAGTGGTTTAGGTGATAAAGACAAAGTTCAAGACATGATCAAACCCTGTCTAATGACTTTAATGGTTCCCCTGTGCCCTGCATCTTAAAGCAGCAAGCATGTAACTAATGCTCCACAGCAGCTATTGCGGCCACAAGTGAAAATCATGGTATAATGGTTAATGCTAAAACTGTGTTAGGTAAGTACAATTAAAGAAGAGGCAAACTGACTCAGTTACACATTGTGATATAGCTTACAATGCTAACATTAGTCAGCATAAGCTACTGGTCACACCAGATCAAGTACAGCTGGAGCAGCCAAATCCCCAAGTGTGTTGTAATTGAAAGGATGTTTTATAATGTATGACTTACACTTTTCCATTTGTAAGTGGGAAACATGTTATTTCTTCATTCAAAACTTACATAGTCTCAATTAAAAGATGTGTATAGAACATCCTTAATATCCCAAAATGTCAGCTGTTGGTGAGTTTATTGGTATAACCCCAGAATAAAAACCAGGTTTGACAAAAAAACTTACAAGAACTCTGGTGTGGAGAGGAAGGAGCGTCCTCCCAGGTCCATGGGGTATTTGAACATGAGGAAGAAGTAGAGGTGACCCACCAGGTTCCCCGTCAGTTCATTTACAAACCTGCACAATAACAGCAAAGAGAAGAAGAAGAGTCAAACAGAACAGAACTAACATTACACAGGGCTGGTGTAACATGGACACATTCAGTTGTAACACAGGCTGCTTATCAGGGTGGATTTACATCTTTGATTCAACTAAATAAAAACACTTACGAGCCTCCAATGATGAAGTTGAAGACCAGGATGACCCAAGGTAAATAATGTGCCTACAGAACAACCAGACATAAAATCAATATGACTATCAAAATACGCCTAACATCACAGTGGTAATGTAATGATGACAGTCCATATGATAAAAACCTGCTCTGATAAGATACCTTTAACTGTTAACTAGATAAAACTTTATTATTTGCAATGTAACGAGCGTTGGTGATAAAACATGATACCTTGAATCGTGTTCCGAACCAGAAGGACACGACCATGTCCTTGTTGAACTGAGCCCAGACGTAGAGCACTGACATAATCATTGGGATCATCAGCAGCTGATAACAACAACATGAACAACAATATATGAATCCAGCTTAACACCATCAACAAGACAGCTGTGTGAACAAGGTTTCCTGATAATTTTCAAATTTTGGTCAAATTAGGACCAGTGCAATATCACCTAACATCTGAGGGTGTTTCATAAAGCAAGGCTTGTTGTGAAAAGTCTGTCTTGAGTAAGGATAGACCGATACATCCGCCGGCCGATATATCGGGCCGATATTTGAGGTTTTTTTTTTTTACTTGTATCGGCATTGGCCGATATGCGCGTGGGTTCGCGGATTTATTTTTCCCTGGCATGATTTACAGACAGGCATCCACGGGCAGCTCTGTGTTGCCGGAAGACCCTGCAGCGCACATGCAGCGAATCCTACTGTGTACAGTAGTTGTTGTTTTATTTATGCTTCAGCTTAAATATTTGTTTATTTTATCAAGACATTACTGGAAGATTTAAGAGCACTGAACTTTTTTTTTATTTGAATGTATAATAATAATAATAATAATATTCTACCTGTTCTACCTCAACTTTCCATCTTGTTTTAGTATTTTTTTGTAATTCAATAAATGTTTCTTATTTTAAACTTGAGACCTGTAATATTTGTTATCATTGTGTCATTTTTTTGATGTAAATTGAGGGAGCAAAAGCAGTATCGGCCCCAAATATCGGCTCAAGAAAATCGGCAGTCCATAATCAGTCATCGGCTAAGGGTGATGGAAAAAAATCGGTATCGGCATCGGCCCTAAAAAATCCATATCGGTCTATCCCTAGTCTTGAGTGAGCCTAACACACTGAACCAGGATTAAAGAAATATTAAAACACCTCAGCATAAACAGAGCAGGAGCACTACTCATCCCTGTGTGAGGCTGTTTATGTGGAAGTGTTATGAACAGTAAGGTTATAGTGAAAATGCATGATAAGACAATGAGACTTTGATAACACTGCAAATTTTTTGTACGTTTTTGTAACATGTTTTGATATGATTTGCTGTTGTTACACACAGCCCCCTTCATTCATCAATAATT